TAAAATTATTATATAATTAGAGATTTTTTTTCTCTATTTAAACTATCTATGACATAAAAAAAAAAAAGAAAAAAAAAATTATGGGTATTAGAAGCCCAAAAACTCAACGCAACAGACCCAACACGAATACTCAAAAGCACAATTAAAAAAACGCCCACTCTGCTCTTCTCATACTTCCCGGTTTCCGCCATACTCTGCAACCAATCTCAGATTCTCAACTCACCAAGAAAGGCGTAACAAAAGGTAACTAATATCTTAAAACAATGAATCTAATATCTCAGATTCTTCATCCTAGATGCTACAATAAATTTCCAACATGCATAAACACCTTCATCCTAGATGCTACATCAATCTCTGCATCTGTCAGTATAAATTAGCTACTCCTCCCCACCAAAACCACTAGTCCACTGCCTCATCCTCCAAAAAACACTACTCCATAAACCTTGAGCAGAGTGGTATTATATTTGCCTTACCCGGTATTCAACCATGGCTAGTTATATACTTATATATCGCTTTATCTTGGGTCACATCACCAAAGAGTCTTAAGATCTTAACACAACAAAAAACAACCAAGGGAGAAGATATGTTTCAAATATTGTCTGCAAAAAAGCATTCCGAGATCCTCCAACAATCTTAGGTACGTAATCAATTGAGAGCAATTTAGTAACCAAATAATCCCACTAAAGCATAACCATATTTAAAATTTTTAAAGAAAGATGACGAAGATGAAATAGGAAGCCGAATAATATGAGCTACCTGTCATGATTGTATAGGAATTCTCTTATATAGTATTTAACAATTTAGGAAAAAAGAAGTTCTCAGGCAAACTTATATTCAAGCTTATGCCAACAGCAACCAACTTATATTGGACATGAGTAGATTTTAACAAAATACAATAATGCAGGCCAAAAAGATGGCAGTCAAAAAGACGTCGCCACTACTGTAATAGAAGTTAACGAAATACACTTTGAGGCAAATATAGGTAATTTACAAAGCCAAAGAGGTCAGATCTTAATACAATATAGCATGATACATATTGGTTATTGCTTTTTTTACCATCAATCAAAACTATATTTTCAGGAAGAGGTGAAAGAAAGGAAATGGCGTAAAGATGAGAAAGTACTTACCCAAAGATTTCCCATGCAGGTCTCCAAATGAGAAAATCAGAGTAAGAAACAATCTAAAGACGCAAGCTTAAAGGTTTTAAAATTTTCAAACGAAACAAACTTACAGTTAAGAAGCGGTTGTAATGTTGAAGCAGTAATAAAAAAAGAATGTGTTACCCTATGGGGCACTATTAAGTTTATAATATTTAAAACAAGTATTTTTTTTTTGTTTTACCAAAAATATATTTTTCTACTATTTGAACACTGAAAATGACTAAAAAATTCATTTTATTGACACACAATTATTTAACTGTATTTTTTTTATCTAATATTAGATTAATATCACACATCCCCCAATAATTGTTTGTTGTTATTTATCTATTATTTTAAAAATAATCAAAAATTATTTGACATTATAAATTATATAATTTTTTCTTAATACTTTGATATCTATTTTCTATTTTTTAATCTAAATTATATTATCCTTTAGTGATAAATACATACGTATCAATATAATAGCGTACACGTCAACACTAATATATGAATATATATGCAATTATGTAGATACTAGAAATTAACCCACACATTGTGCAGGAAATATTTTTCAAAATTATCTTTAAATTTAATTTAATTTTTTGGTTAAATTAAAATTAATGATAAAAATCTTTTAACAAAAAATATAAATAACTAAAATTGATAGCAATTAAATAACAATACATATATAAATATCACATAATCGATATTTACTTGTATATGTATCGACTTTGAGCTAGTTTTATTATGCGGTTTAACTATTAGTAATTTTTAAATATGAAATTGATATTACATTAATATATGTATAATTATATACATACCAATATGGATTAGAATATATATATATATATATATATATATATTCATAAAATAAGAATTTAGTTGTGAATATTTTATTAGAGATCAAACTATGATTTTTGGTTAATAAATTTATGATATGTGTTAATAATGATTATATATAGGATTTTCAAAGTGGACAAACTCATCTACTTAATCTATTTTGAAATTTAATAAAAATATTATCGACCAACCCATAAAAAATACAATTTAAATTTTGAAAACATATTTCAGTTTTTTTATATAAATTTAATTGAATTGATTTTCTAAAATGATACTAATTAAATATGAAAATATAAAAGAAAAATATTGCAAAAGTTTAAATATTTTTTTTAATATATAAATTGTTTATTATTTAAAAGAATAGAATATATTTTAATATTCTAATAAAGAAAGAAATTAAATACTCTTTTGATTATATCCACATGTATTCAAAACAAATCTGTGAGCTCTACATTTAACTATCTCTTATATAAAAATATTTAATTGAGCTTTCTATATTTGTGAAGTTTATTTATGTAATATCATATAAATAAAAGTTTATTTATGTAATATCTTATAAATAAATGTTCATATATGTAAAATATACTGTAATATCTTACAAATAAAGGTTTATTTCTGTAAATATCTACTCAAATAATAATATAGAGATATATATACATACACATATGTATCTATATAGTAGCGTAGACGTGGACACAAATATATGAATATCGATGCAATTATATAGATATGTATATGCATATTCACGTGCATAGAATATAGATGGATGTAACTATATAGATACATATATATATTTACATATGTATCTATATAATTGCATATATATAAACATAACTATATAGATATATGTGCATATTTACGTGTATATGGTATAAATAGATGTAACTATATAAATATATATGGATATTTATATATGTATTCATATAGTTGCATATATATAGGTGAGTCCGGTGCGATTTAGTGTATGGAAGCAAATGACTTAAGGTGGGTCCCGTGTGATATAGTGTATGGAAACTGATGAGTGAAGTTAAGTGGATCATGTATGTTTTAATATTTTTCTTTTTAAAAATAAAAGGTGAAAGGAAAAAAAATGCAAAAAGTCAAAAAAATGGAAGCAAAGTAAGATAAGTGACTCATTTCCAAAAAGTGTTTTTTTTTTTTACATATAACTTTGAAAAAGTGTCTCTCCAGCATCTAGCATCTCTAAAGGCAACCTCAAATCTTCAAATATGAGGTTTTGTTCACTCCAAAGACAACCTTAAAACCTCAAATTTTGAGGTTTTGAACAGTGAAACCTTATATTTGAGGTTTCATTGTACAAAACCTCAAATTTGAGGTTGGAGTTTTTTATTTGCATTTTAGTCCTTACAATTATATACTTCATAAATAATCACTTTCTTTTTATTTGTTACTATTTTAATCCAAACAATTTTATATCTCATGAATATTTTACATTTATCTTAATTAAATTTATATTTGCATATAAAATAAAATTAAAAATTGAAATTAAAAACTAAAATTGATCATATTTGAGAGCATTATGAAAATAGTTTTGTTGAATAATTTGGTGAAATGTAATCATTTATAATTTAGTTTGTGTTTTAATTATTATGTTTCTGTAATTTTATCTTATAATGTAATGTTGTATTTTATTATAAAATTTATAATATAATTTTAGTTAATGATATTTTTTTGTGAATGTTTTCTGTTATTTATAAAGTAATATGATTTTTTATTAATAATGATTAAAAGTAAAGATTATAGTGTAATATTTTAAATTTTATGAGATTAGATTTGAAGTTTTGTCTTTGGAAATAAACACCATCAAACCTCAAATTTGAAATTTGGTTAACCTCAAATTTGAAGTTGCCTTTGGAGATGCCTTAATATTCCCATAAAAAAGTGAAGACTGAGATTTTAGATGACTAATACCACTTGATAATAGAATTCTAGCTCTGTCTGAAGAAGTAATTTTGGGATAAGTATTCGCCACAATTATGTATGTGGGATTAATTGGGATTTTAGAAGCAAAGAGGATCTATTATTTGGAAATTTACAAACGGAAAAGCACAGAACTTTGATTGACGACGAAAACATTACTTAGAGTCTTAGACCCCAATATAAATTACAGATAAAACCTAAACATTAGAAAAGATTTTCTACTAGAGGCCCCACGATATAGAACCTAAAAGTATGTTAACATCAACATATAACAGTATCAATCCCTGTTGAACCAACAAAAAATAAAACAGTATCAATCCCTAGCTAGTATGCATCAATTATAGAAGAATCATTTATTTTCTTACTTTTTTTAATAACAAATGATTTTTCATAATTCAAATATGGAGATGATATTTACTTTTAAACTGATTTAAACATATTCAATGTATTTCCTATACAAGAGAGAAGAAATTGACTGTGCATATCCCTAATATGATAAAAACATCACTTTGGTTTGTTTTAATTTCATTTTTTTTCTTCTTTTTTTGGTTCTGGATTGTGTGGAATCGAGATCTTTGCTTCTATACGTGAATAAATAGAAAAGATTTTGACGAAAACATTACTTAGACCCCAATATAAATTACAGATAAAACCTAAACATTAGAAAAGATTTTCTACTAGAGGCCCCACGATATAGAACCTAAAAGTATGTTAACATCAACATATAACAGTATCAATCCCTGTTGAACCAACAAAAAATAAAACAGTATCAATCCCTAGTATGCATCAATTATAGAAGAATCATTTATTTTCTTACTTTTTTTTATAACAAATGATTTTTCATAATTCAAAGATGGAGATGATATTTACTTTTAAACTGATTTAAACATATTCAATGTATTTCCTATACAAGAGAGAAGAAATTGACTGTGCATATCCCTAATATGCATGCATATAATTCATATTCAGTATATGAACTTTCCAAATTAATTTTCTGGTCAAAATCTTTTCTATTTATTCACGTATAGAAGAAAAGATCTCGATTCCACACAATCCAGAACCAAAAAAAGAAGACAAAAAATGAAATTAAAACAAACCAAAGTGATGTTTTTGATCATGTTAGTCCTAATTTCGGCAGTGATTCCCCGACCATCAGAAGCAGCTCCGCAGATCAAGTATTGTTCGACAGAGAGGATAGACAGAGTGCCCGGATGTTTTAATGCATTGAGATTAGCGTCAGACAGAGATTACAGATCGCTAACAGTAGAGTGTTGCAGAGCAGTATACGCAACACTTCCTGATACTTGCTTCTTGACTGTATATCCTGACAGAGTTTTACCTATTAGTGTCTTCCGTGTCATTTGTACTAATACGGTCCCTGCTGGACCAACTTTTTAATTCTTCTGTACCTTCTTTTAATAAAAACATTATACTATAATAAAGAAAAAAAATGAATCATATGTAATTTCTATTAATTTTCTTACGTTACTCAGATTTTACATATTATTTTCACTTGTTCTCTCACCCATTGAATATTTCATGGTCGGGTCTCATGTTCATCATATTGTGTTCCTTCTGGTATAAATCTTCCTCATTTGTTGCGAATAATATAATTGTACATATTACTCCGAATACTTAAAAAAAAACAACAAAAACAACAAAACAACCAGATCCATTTTTATAAACTAATGCCAGTAAAAAAATAATACCAGATCCATTTAATTTGAAAGTAATGAAAATGATGAATCAAGTGATTATAATTACACTAGGAGAGAACCCGTGCTACGCACGGTTTTGTTTTATTATGCTTTAGATTTTTAGTTAAATTATCAATTTTTGTTTGTTTTTGTATAGTTTGTTTTTTTTTTTTCATAAATTTAGTAATCTCTTCTATTCATTATTCTTTTTCTATTTTGTTCATCCAAATTTTGAGTTCTTTGATATAAATTTTGATCTAAAGATAATTTTTAACTTTTTCAACATACATAATTTATTTATTTTTGAAATTTTAACTTTCTCAACTTACCATTTTCATGTTTTCTTATTACACATATTTCATTCAATCCATCTTTCCAACTGATATTTTCAAAATTGTTGCCATATATAGAGGGTGTTTGGCATAGACTGTGGAGGCTGTGGAATCCATTTCACAGTTTAAAAGTATTTTTTTGCCAATCAGACTTTTTAATATTTTTAAATTTTAAAATCCTAAAAGTCAGGCTTTATATTTTCAGTCATAGATTTTAAAAGCTATGTAAGAGGAGCTTTTACACCAAAAATTAATAAAAATAAAGATATTAATTTCTTTTTCTATTTCTTCTTTCCAAGAATCATTCAAAAGATTTAATACATTTATATATAAATAATTATGAACTAAATTTAATTGATTAAGTCTTTATTCTTTTCAGATTTTTTTGAGATCCATTTTTCTAAAAAGGATCTCAATTTTTTATTTTTTGTATTGATCACTTATGCTAATATAAATATTTTAATAATTTATTAATGATATCAATGAAATTTAAATCTGAGTAAATTATATATTTGAGTAAGAAAAATTATTTTTAATTTAAAATATAACGGTTAATGTTTTACAGTTTTACAGTAAAAGTTTTTAAAGCAAAAATTCTACAGTAAAAACTAAAAGTAAAAATGATTACCAAGCAAGCCCATATTCTTTTCTTTTCTTTTTTCTGTTTATTTTTTTATTTATTTTTTATATCTTGATATTTTTTCGATTCTTTATTGATTTTTTGATGTTAAAATTTTATTGCTATTCTTTTTTATTTTTAGCTACTTGTTCTTTTAAAAAGTATTTTTTTTAATATTAGCCTCATAACTTTTTTTTTACCATTTTGCATTTTTATGATCTTTGTCATTTCTTTCATCCATTTTTTTTTAAAAAAATTCATTTAAATTATAACATAAAAATTATTTTGTTACATATATTTTATTGAATCCATCTTTCCAATTATATTTATTTGTTGCTATATTTTTTTCTCTCTCTAATTTTGATATTCTCTTCTCTTCTTGATTATTTATTAATTTTTGTTTTGTGTGTTGTAGTTATGTAGCTCTTGTTTTGTTCTTCAGTTGCTTGTAAATCTTTTTGACTTTTGTTATTATTATTTTTTTTTATAAAACTTGGTTTTTCTTCATTTTTGTTGATTTAGTTATCTTTGTAGTTAAAAGATGACAATTAAATCACATGAAAATAAAATAAAATGATAGTCACTATAATTTAACAAACTTGAATTTTATTTATTCAAAATTTATGCTTTGATATTTTTAGTTAAACATATTTAAATATATATTACGTAGTTTATATATATTTTTGTTGTTTAATGGATTTTCTTTAGTTTTATTATTTTAATTAAATATATTGGTTTTATTTTTAACCTCATAACTTGTTTTTTACTATTTTACATTTTTTATAATCTTAGTAACCTCTTTCATATATTTTTCTAAATTTTCCATTTAAACTCTCACATAACAATTAAACTTTCTCAATTTATTATTTTCAGATTTTGTTATTACATATATTTCATTAAATCCATTTTTTTAATCAGTATCTTTAACATTTTATATATTTATTTGCTACCATATATTTTGTTTGGATCATTTTCATTCTAATTTTGATATTCTCTTATCTTTTCGATATATTAGTTATCATTTATTTTTGTGTCTTGTGGTTTTATAGTTCTTGTTTACTGTTTTTCAGTTGCTTGAAAAAAATTTAATTATTGTTTTTAGTTTTGGTCTCAAAACTTTTTTTTTATTGATTGATGTATTTTTGTTTGTTAAAAGGTGAGTAAATCATAAACCAAAAAATAAGAAAATAATCACTATATTTTAATGAATTAAAATTTTATTTATTTTAAATTTATGCTTTAATTTTAATTTAACAGGACTAAATGTAAATTAAATAATATATATATATTTATGTTATTTAATAGATTTTTTTTTAGATTTGATTATTATTTTTCTAATAAATGCTGACTTGAAAAAAAAAATAAAAAGGATCAATTAGGGGGAGCTGACGTGTCGACGCTGGAGAGTCTCTCTTCTCTTTTTATATCTTTTACTAGTAGAATATCCACGTATACACGCAGGTTTCTTTTTCTAGTATACAGTTTTATAAACTTACAAATCAGTACATGTTTTGTTTGTAAAATATTTTCTTCTAATATTAAGTTGTTTTTAACTAACATTAATATCACCCGAATTCATATAACCTCTGATCTATATTATTTTGTATATTTATCTGCTCATAACTTTGTGCTAATACAATGTTTAATTTTAAATTAACATTATGGAAACTACTACAATATCATGAGTTGAGAATAATTTCCTACAGTCACATGTAATGTTGTATTTTTTGCATACCCTCCAAATTTTTTTTTATAAAATTTAGGTGTGTTTTATTTTGTTAAAGCTCCACTTGGATTTTATCGTTAATTTTTATATATAAAAAAATTGAAATTTGTTCAATATATTTTTTGGATTGATAGATTCTCGAAACATGTATGTAAGAACCCCTATATCCAAACTACCCAAAACCAAAAAAATGAACCAAACCGGACATATCCAAATTTCTAGCTCTAGGTGCAATCGTTCTTTCTATATTAATTTACTGTTCATTAAAAATATCATCTATAAAATATTCAAAAGTTGTAATGGTTGTGGTAGTATTATTTTCTTTACATGTCACATAGTAACGTATAACATGCAGCCAATTCAAGCATTCTTGAACTCTTCTAGCTCGTTTCTCTCCCGTTTTGAATGCTCCACTTTTGGTTATTCTATCTTCAATCTTGATTAGTTATGAATTTATGATTACCAAGTATTATTCCATTTTTTCCCTTATCTTTCGTGTTCTGCTTATCTTTTTCTTTTGCTTTTATGATCTTCATTATTACTACTATTGGCACCATTGACTACCACAATCTGCACAACTTATAACTTGTCTGACTTAGAAAGTTTTATTATTAAAGTATACTCTTATATTGAGATGTGATGTAAAGGATAAAAAAAATTACTACTGAAAATCTATATATCAATATGTTAAATGAACTGAAGACACTTTAACCAAAAATAATATATTGAATGAATTTTAAACTAATAAAGTAATTCATATAATGATAATGTTGAAAATTATTAAGGATTGACCATTGAAATTTGTAAAGGCTGTAGTGAAAAGATAACTTGGGATTTTTGGTTTTGCGATGAAAATCTTGGTACTCATCTTTCTCATCTTAGCCTTTGTATCCGTTTTTTTCTGTCATAACGCTTCCATGTCCTCCTCTTAGCCTTCGTATCTGTTATTCCTTTCTTCTCTGCATATCCATAACGACCCCATGCCCTTCTCTTACCAGTACTGCTTCATGTATCATTTTTTTCTCTCTGTGTTTCTTTTTCTTCCTCTAAAGTATTCGATCCATGGACCACATCATCAGACTTATCCATTGCCGCAAAGTTTTTGATTGTATAGAATCATCCCATATTTACCACCGCCATCACATCTACGACTCATCCTTGGAGTATGTCTTCAATCATTACACACTTTTATTTTTCTAAAGAGGCTAGGGTTTTGTTATTATGAGGAATTAAAGCAAATTATGTGTAGATAACTGGTTATAATTAGAGTGATAAATCAATTTCTATTATAATTCTAAATGGCGCTTTGGTTTAAGGAAGAATGGAGTATTTAAGTTTCTAGGAAATCTAAAGAAATTAAACAATCAATTAATTGAAATTTTTAACTTTGAATTTTTTTTGTTATTATTTAAAGCTGATGTGTCAAAAGGATAGGAGCTGATGTGTCAAACTGGTGAGACTCAACTGAGTTTTTATATAATAGATTATTATTTGAGAAGGACACTTAAAAAAGAACCTTTATATCATGTGTTATTAACAACTTTGTCATGCTGATGTGTCAATCTTAGAGAGCTTTTCAAGGATTTTTTAAAATTAGACTCAACTTACTAGATTAATTACATCATATGCCATTAACATTAATTTGGTTAAATATTTGTTTATATCAAATATATATTTAATACTCAAACATTTAATTGTAAAGATATTCTCTCTCTTTCTATTTCTTATCAAAATATTTATAAAATTTAATACATAATATTAATTATGTTACTAAACATTATTTTCTTATCTCATCTTTCTTTAATCTTAATTTTGTTAAAAAAATAATCATATTATATATTTAATAATAATAAAATCTAAATTTTTTCATACATATTATAATTTATATGTTTTTATATCAAAGCAAAGTATCTTAGTCTGATGTTAGACCGGTTAGATAGAACATATTAATTAATGTATTTAATGTGTAATTTTATTCATATAAAATACAACTAAATTTAATTATAAAATCATAGAATTTATGCAATTGTATTATAAAATAAATATAAATTTGATTATTATTATAATTGCATAAATGTCATATATATTTGCAATTATAAATATCAGCTAACATTTTTATAGTTGTATTTATATATATTATATTTACATATTCGAATAAAAGAATTGTGGTTAATATTTACCCTGTACATGGTACAGGTAATCAACTAGTATTAGATTATGATATGTGGATCTTAAAACCCACACTCAAGGATTTGGAGTGTTGTTTTGTGGTAGAAGATTTTAGGCAAGAACATTAATAGAAGACGATGTGAATATGAAGACAAATATCAACGAATTGGATTTGTATTGATATAAGTATATGTTTACAAAGTGCTTTGATCAAATGAAAGAATGAATGCCTTTACAACAAGCTTGATCTCCTATTTATATTAGCTTGATCGAGCCAAATTGTTCCGAGATCCCTTGGTTGATGCGGTCTCACCCTTTCTGAGATCTTCGCGATCTCCTCTTATCCATCTCTCATCATTCTCTTAGATCGATCCGCATTCGATCATATTCCTAAGAGATTCTATGTTTCCCTTCGTCATGGGCCTTTAGGACCCAGAACTTTCCTTGTAACGGTTTATTTGCACTAAGTGCTTTGTGGGCCGGATTTGGGCTAAATCCAACACCAACAATTGCCCTCTAGCCTGTTTAGTGAGTACTTCAAATAAAACAGGTGGTTACTTGGTTTTGGAGACTTTTGATTTTCCCCCTTTTTCTTGACCTAGGGTTTTCGTCTCGCACGGCTGAGATTTGTTAAACCAAAAATGGAGGGTCGAGATCAAGAAGATCTCGATAGTTCAGATTCTATCTGATGTGATAGACTGAAATCTTTTTGAGATAAAGTGAAATCTTTGCTACTCGTTGAGATGGACGGTTCAGATACGTGTAAGCAAGATTTTTGTTGATCTAAAAAAATCAACTACCCATGTCTCTTCAAAACTGCACGCTTCCCCACTCTGCTTCAAGGTAACTTCTTCTCTTTATGATTTATATTTATTTTCTTTCTCGATTCATGTTTGGAAAATTTCCCTTTCTTTTTTTATCGAGAATTTCCTCTCGAAAACTTTTATTTTCTGCTTCAATTTCCCGATGATCCGATGGAACACCCCGATATACCCACGATTTCGATCGTTTCTCCGGGTGAGCTACACCAGTTGCGGCGAGTCCATGACATTCCGACTTCCATCGATTTTGTTATTCCCGAGAGAGGTGAGATGCTGAAGTCCGTTCGCCTAGGCTACTGTGTAGCGTACACGACATTCTTCGACCTATGGCCTTTATTTTCTGATTCCGTCGTCCATCCTGGCGGACTTAATGAACTCTAATTTTGTCCGCCACGCTCTCAAGTTGTTGGTTAGGGCATCGGAGGCAGGGAATCCATTTGGAATCAATGAGATTCACAAGATGTGCTCTATTAAGAGCAATTAGTCCTATCCAGGTTCCTTCTACCTGTCTTCGAGGAAGCGCTGCGGCGTGTTTGAGGATATTCCAGTTAGAGATGACCATTGTAAAGCGAAGTATTTCTTCTTCAAAGTCAATGTTGACTTTGTGGGATCTTTCGATTTTAGCCGTTTACCCTCTATCTGGTCTCCCAAAGTTGGTTAGCATAGGGGTTGGAAGCATAATATTGGCTCTGTTTCGATTGTTTGATGCTAACCAATCTGTTATCTTTTTGTTGCAGTTGTACTGATAAAAGTTGACGAAGACGAAGTCTTGCTGACCACCTTGCAGCTTGGAGATATCCAGTGGCATACCTTCACCCGAGACCGGATTAAGAGCGCACTTCAAGGTGTGGTTGTCACTCCGAATCCTCAGAATCCTCCGAATCTTGTCATTGATCCTGAGAATCCGCCCTCAATTTGTCGCCACCGGAACTTCCACTTTCTTCCGAAAGGTCAGTCTTCCTTTCCATATTATTGACTATTGACACAATTTGGCTAGTTGCATTCTCTCAGTTTAGTGTTTCATGCAGATTCTGAGGATCAGGTTTCTGACGCCTCGTCTACCAGCGCTGTGCAGCGACCTCTAACTCACCAAAACCGGAGAAACATGCCTCGAAGACCTTCAGCTCGTGAGCTTGAAAAAGCTAGGAAAGGAAAAGCCGCCTGCTACGAGTTCTGAGTCAGTTTAGGCGGGCTAGATCAGGCAAGCTGTGAACGAGGCTATGGGACAAGCCTCTACGGCTTTGGAAACTCCCGTCAACCTCACAGCTAATCTTGTTCACCAGACGATCTTGGTTGGCTCCCGAGACTCTGAGAAGACTCTGCAGAGTAAGAAGCCGAAGGTTGGAGATTGGACTCCTGATCGGAGGTGGGCTCATGCTACGGCGAGCCTATATTTCCTGCGTACTCGGAAAACCGTATTTTTTCTGAGTCCCTTATTCTGGCATTGGCTATGTGGTTGGTAAAGGGTGTTCTTCGGGTTTCTTATAGCACGCGATCTATGTTGGGGGGGGGCGAGCTCGTAGCTATGTATACTGCAGAGTACATACGTTGGAGTTCGGCGTTGTTAGTTTTGATGTACTTCTGGAGTGCTTCGAAACTGGTTATAGATCGCAGATCAATGATTATAGGTCTCGTAGGGAACACCAGATGAGTACCATGTGTGTTCCCAGTCTGATGACCGTTGGACGAGAGGATTTCCTCGACCGTTTGCGCTCTATTGAAGCGAGGCAAAGCATGTGTGTTCTCAGTTTTCTGACCGCTGAGCGGGAAGATTTCCTCGGCCGTTTGCAATCTATCGAAGCGAGGTGGAGTTCTCCGAGTTGGGGTAGTCGCAAAATTGGTAAAATTCCGATCTCGCGATTTGGTGTTGAATAGCGGTGGGGTGATGGTGGCTGATCTGCCATGTTTATCAAGTTTTCTGTTCAACCGGATTCGAAGATCGGCCTTGAGTTTGTTACCGAGCTGAACATGGGGTCAGCCCGAGGTGGAGTTGTGAACGGCGGAGACGGATGGTCATCAGCCGGGATGTGTTCGAACTCCGGGCGAGTTACTGGAGGTGGACTCCGATCTGTCCTCTCGGGTCGATCATTTGGATCTGGGACCCGAGCTGACGTTGGTCGTGCCAGCTCCTACCGCATGGCGGCCAGGTTTTTTCGTTTTGTGCCAGGATAACTCGTTGTTCGCGAGTTTGTTCCACTAGGAAGTTTACCATCTTTCGGAATTCTGACATAGTTTGTTCCACTAGGAAGTTTAGCATCTTTCGGAATTCTGACATATCCTGACTGATCACGTTTGTGATGATTCAGTTCGCCTGCATTCGGCAGGAACATGGATTGCGGATCCGCCGACAAAGTTTTTAGGTCTTACCCACGTACACGAGTACGTGAGTATTAGGGTTGGTCTGAGATCTGTGCGTGGTGGCGGCACGACAGGCACACTAGGAGCCGTTGGTACCGTACTTACTGGGTTAGTTTGAGTCGGACTGGTTGTCGGGTTTGCGACACCCGATTCAATGATCTGATTTTGGGTTGAGGAGCTTTGTGGATCAGGATCGGTGACCATTCCAGATTGAGTTGTGATGCTGGAGCTCAGTGCGAGTCCGGAGCCAGTTCTTGAACCAAGTGTTTCAGTGTTTTTGGGATCCATTTCGTTTTTATTTGTCTTTGAGATCGGTCTCTAGTGTAAGAATTTCTTTTATATCTTCTCCACAGATGGTGTCAAAATAAGGATTCTAAAACCCACACTCAAGGATTTGGAGTGTTGTTTTGTGGTAGAAGACTTTAGGCAAGAAGTTCAATAGAAGACGATGTGAATATGAAGACAAATATAACTAATTGGATTTGTATTGATATAAGTATATGCTTACAAAATGTTTTGCTCAAATGAAAGAATGAATGCCTTTACAACATGCTTGATCTCCTATTTATATTAGCTTGATCGAGTCGAATTGTTCCGAGATCTCCGGGTTGATACGGTCTCATCCTCTTCGAAATCTTGTGATTTCTTCTTATCTATCTCTCCTCATTCTCTTAGATCGATCTGCACTCGAGCATATTCTTAGGATATCCTCTGTTTGTCTTCGTCATGGACTTTTAAGATCCGAAACTTTCCTTGTAACAGTTTATTTGCCTTAAGTGCTTTATAAACCGGATTTGGGCTAAATCCAACACTAACATAATACATGATTGCGTATACTATGCAAAGCATCTATCTAGAAATGTAAAATACAGTCACATTAGTATCTTTCTAGAAAAATTCAAACTTTTCAATAATTGTCTTTAGCTTACAACCGAACGTAATGTATTCAGTTTCCTGCTCTTAATCGGTATTTAAAATACTGTATATGTTTACCCTCAATAGTCATTATGGAAGAGGGACTTTTTCTTTTCTTTTCAAAAACTTTTGAGATAGAATGAATTTTTATTATATGAGAGGAGAAAGGCGACAATAGATACAACTGTTATATACTTTCCTTGATAGTATCACATAATTGATATACAAATTGATTGTGAATATACATATGTATCAAACAAATCTAGAAACTCTCCAATTTTTTCTGTATTTTTTATAGTAAGAATTCACACATCTTCTAAGAAGGCCGTTCAATGGAAAGAACTAATCTATACTTTTCTTGATAGTATGACGTAATTGATACAAAAATTGACTGTAGCCTGTGGGTATGCACATGAGTCAAACAAATATATAATCTTTCCAAATCTTTTGTATTTCTTATTGTCAAAATTCACACATCTTCTATATATATACATGCTCTACCGAAACAAAAGTCTTATAAGTTACACAATCCAAACTCACAAAATATATATTTTTTAATATCCTCAAAAATGAATCAAAAACAAACCATGGTGATGTTTTTCTTGTTAGCCCTAATCTCGACATTGATTTTCAGACAATCTGAAGCGGATGCAAATTATTGTTCAACGACCGCCATAGATAACGTGCCGGGATGTTTTGATGCGGTGAGATTAGCGTCAGATTTTGATTTCAGATGGCTATCAAAAGATTGTTGCCAAGCAGTGAGAATATTTCTTGATCCTTGCTACTTGATTGTTTATCCTGGCAAAGCATACCCTATTCATTTCTTCCAAAGCATTTGTATTGATAAGTTTCCTGGATCAAATTTATGATTTTCGTGTAATTTTCACAATATAATAAAAAAGATTTTAGTTTTAATTTTCTCTTTCAGTTGTTCCGATTTGGTATCATGTTTCAAATGTTAACTATACAAATGAAGAATTCTGAAGAAGAATATAATCTCGTAAAAATAATCTCGATTCTTAGCATATTCAAATTGAATTAAAAAAAATGAAAAATTCATCAGTCAAACTAATTATGGTAAAACCATAAATAAACGATTTTCCTAATATAAGAGAAGATTACGAAGGAAAGAGCTGATATATACATTCCTTGATAGCATTACATAATTGATACACCTTCACATATTATGATGAAAGAGACTATCGGAAAAGGTCCATTGGGAATATATAATGCATATCTGGGACAAACAAATATATAAACTTTCAGAATCTATTCCGATTCTTATAGTAAAAATTTCTTTACCCATCTTCTACACATTGAATAAAACATTATGGACTTGAAAAAGTCCTTTATAAACTAATAATTGTTAAATTACCGATAAATTTATAACTCTATAAACTAATAAAATATCATAGTTTCAATATTAGTTATAAATTTTTGTATTATGTCTCTTTCAATTGTTAGAGACGAACCTCTAAAGAATTATTTTTGCTTGCAACATGTTATTTACTATGCAAATATAAATAAATAAGGACTCGAAGTAAATAACATTGTGTATGTATGATTAAATTATTCTGAATGCTCCATTTTTTTTTTTGGAATAGTTAAATCTGGACTGCACCACTGAGATGATTTTCATTGTTATTCAAAAACATCTTCTAAAAAAAACACCATTTAGTGGCCACAACAATAAATTATCGTCATTTACTTATTTTCAAATTTTTTTCATTGATTTACTAAATTCACTCTTCTAAGCTCGATTCATAATCCTTCTTTCTTTCGGTCACAAAGCTCACAATCAAAGTAAACGATTTTGCACACATGAGACATATCAATACTAAGAATTTAAACTATAAACTCTAGTGTCGATTCTTAACCACTCTTTATTCAAAACTACAGTTAAAGAGTCGCTAACTAACACATAGAACCACTAGTAAAAATATGGAAAAGAAATATTTTACAGCTTAGTTGGCTCAAGCCTCAAAGACTCTATCTGCACCCAGTAAATCATGGTTCAAATCCCTTAAAAAAAAAAAAAATTTAATTCAACTTCTCTCTTTTTATTCAAAAAAAATGTCGTTTTATAAAATGTTTTGCGATAAAATTGGAATACTTTAATGAAAATAATGGTAAATAATTATGGGTAGGAGGGTATCATCTAGTCACAACCACGTATTCCCTTTTATTTTAATCAAATAGAAGTATAGGACCTTTGTTGCACAAAAAAAAGAAGAAGTATGGAACCTTTAAATTGCATTATAATTTACATTTGATGCAAACAGAACTGTCGACGCCTCGTTATTCAACTCTGACATTTCGAGTCAATTATCTATTATCTAGGTATTAATCTATGTTTTTTTTTTTGTTCTTAAAATATGACCAAATGAAAAAAAAAGAAAAATAAAACAGATTTGGTAAGAATAGTTGATGTATCTTGGCTGAGTTAGAAGCTTTGGTATGAACGATGGTGTGCACTCTTGCAAAAGAACTTCTTTTCGATGGATTTATATCGGATTGTTTAGAATCGCTGAAAATGTTAGATAATCAGCTGAATGGTTTTTGTCTTCTTGATTTCTTTCTTTCATTTTATATAATTTGTGGATAAATTAGGCTCAACTATTTTTAAATTTCAGCTATTGAAGGTGAATTGGAGGTTGCTATATACAAGGTGGGATTCTAGATAGTAACTGTGAGACCCCGCTCCTCTTTTTTCTTCCGAGAATCAGATAGATTGGTTATTAAATCCATGAGACCCCGAATCCGTCTTTTATTTGAATTGGCTATCAACTCTGAACGCCTCAAACCGCCTCTACCAGTGAGCCCAACGCCGTATATTCTAGGGCCCAACATCTTTTTTCTAGGTCCGTTGGCCCACCAATCACCCCTACTAGTGAGTCCAATGCCTTATCTCTTAGGTCCGTTGGCCCACCACTGTCCGACGGTTGGCCTCTTTCTAGGCCCATGAGCCCACCCCTGTCCGACGGTCGGGAGTCGTTTGGTCCGGGAGGCTCGTAAGACTTGTCTACTATCCCTGCAACCAGACGGACCGGCTATCAAATCCATGAGACCCCAAATCCGCCTTTCATCTGGACTGGCTATCAACTCTGAACGCCCCCAACCACTCCTACCAGTGAGCCCAATGCCGTATACTCTGGGGCCCAACATCTTTTTTCTAGGCCCGTTGGTCCACCAACCACCCCTACCAGTGAGCGCAACGCCTTCTCTCTTAGGTATGTTGGCCCACAACTGTCCGACGATTGGCCTCTTTCTAGGCCCATGAGCCCACTTCTGTCCGACAGTCAGGAGTCGTTTGATCCGAGAGGCTGGTAAGACTTGTCTACTGTCCCTGGAATTACCACATGATATTTTTCCGTGCTTTTTTTCTCACTCACACGGTACCACAGACTACTTCACGGTAGGTCACCCATCCTGAGATTGCTCCAGCTTAAACACGCTTAACTCTGGAGTTCTCTCAAAATACTTGACCGGAAAAGATAAATGCACTTTGATGGCATAGATAACCAAATAAATTTTTATAAGCCTTTTTCACGTATACCGGAAATCGGGATGTCATAGTAACTACGAGCTCGATTGGCTCCTTGGAGCATGCCAATTGATACAAGCTGCTGCCTATGTAACAACTACTAAGAGAATCGAGACCACCTTTTTCTGAGATATGCCTTGAGTGAACAAGTTTGAGAAATGGTCATCAAACATTTGAGGTATATACAGACCGTTTTTATTTCATAGTTGGATAGTTTTTACCACTTGGATGGGAATGAAGGAAACAACAAGCCCAAAGACTCTAAAACGATTTGTTGCTCATGCTCCAGTCTACAAAATATGGTATGAAAGGAATGTGAGACTGCACAGCAACATGAACTCCACGCCACAGGCTATCTTCAAGGCGATTGATAGACTCATCGGTGTGCATTCATGGCTAAAAGGAAAAGGAAGAACTTCAACTATCTGATGCAAACATGGCTCAAATATATGAGTAAGGAAAATTATGAAACTCTAGCTACTCAAAATGTATAGATTCTCCCTTCTTTTTTTTAATCTTTTTTTTTTGGCAAGGAACAGCCTCTGCTCTATCTTTTTTTTTTTTAAGTTTACAAACAATCTCATTTTTAATGAAATTCAGTAATTATATTTTCTAAAAAAAGATACTATCTACGGTGATCTCCGCAAAATTGGTTTGGGCTAGAATAAGCCGGACCGAGAAAATTGTATTTTTTTTCTTCGAATGCATATATTCACTTATGTATGTCTTTGATTGTTGTCTTTTTAAACTTGTTTTATACTTGATACATAACCAGCTAGCAATATAAAATGATCCATAGTGCTCAGCTCTTTTTGCATGAACATGTTACCTCGACATTTAGATTTTCAATTTGAATCCGAATTATAACCTCTTCAAATTTATATGAAGGGGAATTTTTTAATAATAAGTATGTTAATTTGATTATAAAACATTGCCAAAAGAGAGAGTTCATGCATCAAACAATAACAGCTAGAGATTTCATAACGTAATAATTCCCACTAGCAATCACAACATCGTCGCAACACTCAAGTCTTCCCCAAATTTCCCCTCCTTGGCGTCGTCTTTCCAGCGAAACTCCGCACACCGAATCTCTCTTCTTCCACTCATAGTCATATGTTCTACTTGGGGAGACACAAAGCCAGTTTCCCACCTTAAGCCTTTTTGGCCCATTACAAGCATTATATAGTAGAACCTATATAAATTAATATTCGATAAATTAATAATTATTATAAATTAATAAATTTTTTTGGTTCTAAATTGGGCCAATGTAAAAATCCATCAAATTCGATAAGGTATAATTTTTTTGAAACTCTTATGTAAATATATAGTCCCAATAAAAATATAAATTAATAATTATATAAATTTATGCAAATATATATATATATATAAACATAATATTCTAAAATATGACTAATGTGTTTGTTTTTACTTAAAGTTGAAATCTCATTGGTTCCCATCTCTCTAATTATTATATTAATAGCTCTTATTGTTGTTTTACTATATGCATTTAAAATTTATGATGATTTTTTGATGTAATAATTGATTTTCTTACCTGTAAATATTTTTAAATGTATTGTAGTGTTATCTTCAATTTTATCATCAATAATACTGATAGTAGCCATGATTTTTTTATAAATTTTAAACTTACAAACATATATATTTTTACGTGGACAATCCAATATAATGTTAAAAATAAGTTTATTGTGATAGTTATAATTGTTAATTATAATTTATATTATGAGATTTATTAAAATTTTAAAATATAAAATTATTTTCTAAGAAATTTTTAAAAAATTATATACGAAAAACAAATTTTCTCTATAAATTAATAATTATTAATTTATAGATAAATTAATAAAATACTATGGTTTCAATATTATTAATTTATAAAGGTTTTACTGTATATTTTTTGTAGAATGAACCTTGCTCATGATCTACTTTCTAATTTTTGTTTCGTTATGCAGACAATACTAATTAAAACACAAACGTTTGGAAAAATCATGTAAACATTAGGTAACATTAGGTCATTAGCTAAAATAATAATCGAAGAACCTTTTAGATTTATCTTTTTTTTTCAACATGTTGGTATTTTTTTTAGATTTATCTCGTCCTATACGTTGATTAAATAACCAATTCAACATACAACACTTCGCAAAAACAGGTATATTATGATCAATACGTTTTTGTTTATTTTTTTTGTTGAGGATGCTAGAAACCATTGACAATCATCTTGTCTATGTTCTGTCTTTATTCCTGTTTTCTTGACTTATTTGACACTCGTGCTTTCCAGATAACTTGTTATATACTGACTTTTTTTGTTTTTGT